CCGAGCACCCGCCTTTCTCCGCCCGCTTTCCCCGCGGCCGGCGCGGCGGCTTCCACGGATCGGGGGCGCAGAAACGCGCAGCCCTCCGCCTCCCGGGCTGGCGGCGCTCCGCTCGGGGTCGCGTGGTGCCCTGGCAGGGGGCCGCTCGCCCCACGCTCAGCCTGATCCTGTGCTGGACCACAGCTTCAGCTTTGAGAGGGGGCAAGACAGCTTTCTGCACGTGCTCAGAGGCACTCCACTTGCACCCCTGGTGTCTCCCAACCTCTCAACCCGGGAGCTGCGTGGGACCGTGGCCCAAGGGGATGTCTGTCTACAGTTACAGAGCAGATGTGCGTTTAATGACTTTGCCCCGCGTGAGCGTAATTAATTATTTGCAGGGGGACCCTTTTGCTCCACGAGGCAGAGTTGCAAATACAGACTGGTGGCACCTTCACCGCTGCCCGATTTATTGCAGCGTGAGCATGTGCCAACTATCAGTGCGCTTTTCTTCGCGCATGTTCACTGGTATAAAATGTACTCCAACAATAATTTTTATTCTTCATTGCTACTAACTGAGCACCTGTATTTAAAAAAGGAGATCTCATGAAACTGATATTTCAGTAGTAAATACTTTCAATTAAGAGACCCTTGGCATTTAAAATTTAACTCAAAATGTCCAGAACTGTGGTTTTGTAAGTGTGTGTTCAAATTCTCGCTCACAATAAATTGCTGGACCAGGGCTGTCATTTCCTGAGCCAAGTTTCAAGAAAATGGACAATGGGGCAGGGACTTCAGTGGGCTGTACTCTTCCCATTCAGAGCTCTTTAGCTGTGCATGGTCTGCCTACATGGTCAGACGTGTTGGTGAGCCATCCGCTCTAAGATTAGGCAGGGCCACAATTAGTTCAGTTCGTATTAAGGATAGTCAGAGCTTTGCGGTCGCTAGCAGAAGTTTCCGCACCATGCCAGACGTTGCCCTACTCTTGACCGATTCCTTTTACTAGCTCCATTTCTCTATGAGCAACTCAGACTGTCCTAAGTCTGACACAATCCTTGAACAACCTCAAATATGACCTGCTAAGGTGCGTGGCAGGTGTTCTCCACTTGTTCAGTTGGCGCTTTTGCATGGACTTCACAAAAAGTGGCAAACTGACCTGGGATGGAAATTTCGTGCTCCCTCAAAGGCAGGGTGTGAGGGTCCAATTAAGGCTCCAATAATACCTGGGGAGTTCAAAAGGGCAACAGACTTCTGTGCTCTGCCGGCCCTTCTCCTGATGGGCTCCATGTGGACTCTTGATTTCATTCCTAGTGTTTTGTTCTACCTGTCTCCTTGATCCTGTTACTCTTACAAGATGAATAGCCTTTCTACAGTTCTGGGCCAGAACTATTTGGGTCGGTCAAAAAGCTCCACAGGCCCAGCCTTGGCTTATTTATTAATGCATGCATACAGGATTGGCTGGCTAGCTTTTGACCCAAAGAGTGGGGTAGCTGTAACCAGTCTATCGCATTATAACTGCTACTTCTGTATGGAGTTTAGGTTAATTCAAGTGGGAGCATTTGGGAATGGACGGATAACATTGTTTATTATTTATTTATTTATTAAAACATTTTTATGCCGCCCCATTCGCCGAAGCCTCGGGGCGGCTTACAACGTTAAGTTAAAAAATAATTATAACATTAAATTAAAAAATACAAACATTAAGTTAAAATGCAAAAATAGCAATATAAAATTATTCATAGAATCACAGAATAGCAGGGTTGGAAGGGGCTAAGAAAGGCCATTGGGATCAAACCGCTGCTCCGTGCAGGACTCCAAGTTAAACCATCCTTCCGGTCCAGCTGCATCTTGGATGGCTCCGGTGCGGTACAGCCCAACACCTACCAAGGCCATCGGTTCCATGGTCGTACTGCTCTAAGAGTCAGAAAGGTCTTCCTGATATCTTGCTGGAATCTGGCGTCCTGTTACCCATTATTCTGTGTCCTGCGCTCTGAGATGATCGAGAAGAGATCTTGAGCTTCCTCTTTGTGACAGCTGTTCAAGGACTTGTAGAGTGCGGTTCTAACGTGCAATTTTATTCTGTTTTATGCTGGACTGAGACAAAGTTGCTGCCAATCTGTTGCTTTCCAGTGTTTTCCTTCTGTTTTCAGATGTGTTTTGAGATTATTCCTTCACATGAACTGCAAACAGAGCACTAGGTCTTGCTAGTCTAATGTGAACTGGCAAAGCAAAAGTGACTTTTTGCACTTCTGTACCTTTGATTAGATGCTTCCTCCTTGTGCACAGATACTTTGGGCAATCTGACTGCTTCCTGTTCAGCACGGTAGCAAGCGGCATTGGCATCTGCTTGATGGGTTACCATAGTTCCCTGTGAGTGCCTGTGGCTTTAGTTACTAGTTTCCTGTCATTTTTTCTCTTCAATGTTAATTTGCAATTTACATTTTAAATAATGCAATTTTGTGACTTAACATTTTACAGAGCTATTTGACACTCAGAAGGTAATGATATAACAATGAGAGGGGACTAGTAATAAAAGAAAACATTATTTCACAATAATTCTCTATACAAAATGTTAAAATGAGAATGGACTCCGAGTCACCGGGAGGGGAGTTGTCAGGGAAGAATTTCCCTGTGGATAATGTCTGGAGATAATGCATACTGCACCGGGTCAAAGTACTCATTTTTAATCTTTTTTTATGTTTATTCATTGAAATACTGTATATCCAACTCTTCAGCAGGCAGCTCCTATGGCAGCTAACTGTGAGAGCCACTGTGGTAGGCTGGTTACAGTAATGGATTGGAACTAGAGATCAAAGTTTTAGTCCTCAATCCACCATTAAGCTCACTGGGTGACAATGGGCAGCCACTCATTCCCAGCTTGACCTACACCACAGGGTTGTTGTTATGAGGATTAAAAGGAGCTCTTGTAAGCTGTTTTGAGTTCCTACCAAGAGGAGAATGGCAGGATAGAAATGCAGTGGAATAATGATAATAGTAATAGCATCAATATACATTTCAAAAATCAGTAAAGCCAAGCAGATGGCAACCCTGGAAAATATACAACAGAATGATGAAGACTGCAATAAAAACTAGCAAATGCAAAATTGCAACAATCAGAAACAAAATTACTATTAGTACATTGCATATATATCCAGCCTAACTGCTAAAAAGGCCTAGGCAAATGGAAAGCTGTTTGACTGATGCCAAAATCAGAACAGGTTTATTTATTTATTTATTTATGCTTTCATTTATATGCTGCCCACTACCAAAGTCTCAAGGCAGCTTACAATAAAATATGAAAATACACATAACAACAATGTTGTCCTTAGAATTAAGAAAATAAGGCCTAACAAAGGAAACCAACTAAATTTATTTATATATTTTGGCACCAGGCGAGGGTTGAGGGGAAAGGTGTTCTTGGTCAGAGAAACTCTCCTGTGGACGCTGTTTCCAGAAAGTCAACTCATCTCAGATTAGATCTTTCCTTTCTTCTTTTGCCTTTGACTTCCTCTAGCATGAGTGTCATCTCTGCTGACTCCTGCCTGCTTACGATGTCCCTGAGGCACGGCAGCTTCACCATTTTTGCTTCCACGACAAGATCTGGCTGGATTTGATCTAGGACCCGCTTGTTCATCGATCCAGGGTATTTGCAAAATCTCCTGCAGCACCATGTTTGAACACTGCAATGTTCTTCCCATCAGCATCCTTCACTGTGTGGCTTTCACGGCGATATCAAATGATTGGGATGATCAGTGTGGATGATCCTGGACTTGGTATCCAGTGAAACGTCCTTACACTGGATGAACTTTTCTGGTTTCTTCCCTCCTGACCTTCCAAGTCTCAGTCTCCTTCCAATTCCTTGGCGCCAGTCTGCCTTTGAATTGATGACTGAGCCCAAGAATGCAAAATCTTTCACAATTACTGCACCACAATATTAAAGGAGGGGTGTGTGTGTGTGTGGGGGGGGGAAGGAGATGCTTGACTTTTTCCCTGCAGGCAATTTCTGGAATACAGAGTCATCTCCGGCACTGGTTTCCTCCCTGTGCAGGGAAATATACGAGTCCCCTTTCTTTGCTTTCCTTAATTGAGGGGAAAGAACAGCTTCAAGCTAAATTTGAGTAGAAAAATGGACAGAAGAGAAATGGTTGAATAGTCTTTCATCTCAGCACTTTTGGGGTGTGGTGAAATCTCCATGTGTTATGCAAAAAGCTGCAAAAATACTTCTCAAGTTAAATAACCAAGACTACCAACAGAGTGAGGTGTTTCCTTTGGTTATTGCAATAGATGGGAAGAGTCCGCTCTATCAGAATCTCTCCAAAGTACAAACAAGGCAGTTCCTTTTACTCCTCAGTCCATCCGCCACAGTCCTCCCCTTTTCCCTTACTGGGTAAGGTGCTAAGAGGTTACAGTCTTTCTGTCCGCCTATTACATAGCTCCCATTTCATCTTATTACATACACCTACATACATCACATGTGCATTATAATTAGCCTATTGTCTATTCAGGGTGTGTGAGTTAATCTTCATCAAGCTATTATGCCTGTGTGCTTATAACTACAAGTTCACTAGTTCACCCCTCTCTAACTTCACCTTGCCCTACAACCCCCTATTTCATAAAACTACTAGGAAGATGAGATAGGAAGTAGCAAACTTTCTTTCAAGCCAATTTCCTTTTTCTCCCCTCCACATTCCTTCAGACAGGTTTCATGGCTTGGTTGTTTGCCTCACTGTTTTTCAATCACTGGGTTGCTTCCTTCACTAGTCTCCCAAATAATGGAAGTTCTTGTGAATGCCAGGGAGATTATGCATTGATTTGTGTCTGATGCTCAGCTCGTAGACCCTTCAACTATTTATGGGCTCTCATGGCCATCCCCTTCCCCGCAAGCAAAGCAGTGGCCGCTGCAGCTGTGCAATGACATCTCCCGAAGCAAGCATGGATATGAAGCAATCTCAAGGCAATGCGGCCATCCTTCGTTCCGGGAAGGGAGGGAAGCATCCAGCTGCATTTCCCAGCCCGCATCTGCCTCCCCTCTCCTTGAAGCGCCTGTGTGAATGAGGCAGGTGCAGCAACAGCACTAAAACGATGAACGGGGTGGAGGGTTTTGTGGCAACGCGATTCGCCATTACTGGGACGAGCGCCATCTGGTGGAGCGGCGCGTTAGCAAACACTTTCGAAAGAGCGGCGGACGCAAGAGAAGACTGGGTAGGAACCGCACCATTGCACAGCGTGTGAAAAAGGCGAGCCAGGAACTTGGGAAGCGGCAGAGAACGTAGTGTGATGACGCATGCCACGCACAACGAAGAATCCTGCTGATGCAAGGTGCGGCCCCCGCAGATCTTGAGTCCCCTCCCGGGCAATTTGCTGGATGGGGAGGAAGGCAAGGGGTGTCTTTCTGAGAGAGAAGGGAAAGGGGGTGCCTCAGGCACACGTGGCTCTGGCCCTGCCCAACACTGGCTCAGCCTCTTCCAAATGCCAGCGTGCAGCTCCTGGTGGCCCCCAAGGGCATGGGATCTTCGATAGCCAAAAGGTTCCACACCTCTGATGTGGGCCTTGCAGACCTGCAGAGATGTAGCAAAATACATTTCTGTGTGCTAGATATGCATCTGCTAAACACAGAGGTGCCACGAGGTACAGTGTTTTTGTTGCAACAGGCTAAGGAAGCCACCCAGCTCTCTATACACCATTTAAAATATCTGAGAATAGCACAGCTGCAATCACCAAGAAACAGAACTGTGACAGAAAGAAGGGATCATTGACGGCTTTCAGAATTTTTGAACCAAGGCAGCCTGCATTTCGTGGCCTGAATATGAGGCTTATTGCATGAGTTATACATGAAGCAGGACTGGTCCAAGACATTGTACTCACTGAAGTGAAGAGCGCAAGAGTTTGAATCTTCCTGGAGGTTAGTAACAATTTATACAATGGAGCAAAATACAAAAAAAATAGCATAAGATAAACAACATAATGTCTCTCTTCGCACGGCAGTGTTTCCAAACCCTGAATCATTTTTGTTGCCCTCGTCTGGACCCTTTCTAATTTTTTGCATCGTTCTTAAATCTCGGTGTCCAGAACTGGACACAGTATTCCAGATGACGTCCAACTAGTGAGGAGTAGAGGGAAACTACTCCTTCTCATGATTTGAAAGTAACACTTCTGTTAATGCATCCCAAAATAGCATTTGCCCTTTTGGTGGCTGCATCACATTGTTGGCTCATGTTTAGCCTATTGTCCACAATTACTCCAAGGTCTTTTTCTTTTTCAGTTCTGTTGAGCCATGTATTCCCCATCTTGTATCAATGCCTTTGGTTTCTTTTTCCTATGTGGAGGACTTGGCACTTGTCCCTACTGAATCTCATTCTGTTGCTTTCAGTCCAGTGTTCAAGTTTATCAAGATTGCCATGGATCTTCATTCTGCTGTGGGGCATCTCTTCCCCTGGATGACTCTTCTACTCTTAAGACAAGCATTTAGTTATTACATTTATATCCCACCTTTTTTCTTTCCAAGGAACTTAAGGCAGCTTTCACAATTCTCCTTCTCTGTCCTCACAACAACCCTGTGAGGTAGGTTGGGCTGAGAGTCTATGGCTGGCCCAAAGTCACCCAGTTGGTTCCACGGCTGAGCAGCGACTAAAATCCAGATCACCTGAGCCCCAGCCCCACACTCTTAACTACTACACCATACTGGCTCACACCAGGAAGTTATTCTGAAGCCAAGATGGAAGTTAAGATCATGAAGCCATGTTGCACTTCCGTCTGTGTCACCTGACACAGAGATTCAGTCCAGAGCAGCAGTGCCCACAGAAAGCATGGTCTAGCAACCATGGGTTATTATTCTGTCAGCTCCTGACTGCTCTGGCCTACAGAACTCTCATTTTGTCCACAGCATCCTGACACTGCAGTTTGCAGCATTTAAACTTCATTTGCTCGCGTGATTGTCTTTCCCACGATGTGTCCAAAGAAGGACAGCCTCAGTTTGGCATGTCTGCTTCCAGGGAATGTTCTGGCTTGATTTGACTTAAGACCCACTTGTTTGTCTTTCTGTCAGTCCAGAGTATTTGCAAAGCTCTTCTCCAGCACCATGTTTTGAATGCATCAGTTTTCTTCCCGTCAGCCTTTTTCACCATCCAGCACCTTTAGTCGGAAAAAAGGCCTACAGTTCCCAGTATGCACCAGGCACCTTTGCTCTCCTTGTTCTGGCAGGCACAGCCCCTGTGCTCCCATCCCCCAGGCCCTGCCCACTGACTATGAGGATCTGAGCCTCATGATACCCCACCTTCCAGTACAAGCCATGAAGCACATGCGACCGTGGGAAATACTTGCATTCCTGTTTGATGGAGAACCGTTTGCTTGCTGTTTCGTGTGCAAGATGATTTTGTTTGTGTGCTTTATGTAAGCCACCCCATTGCACACGTCCTCCCTCGCCATCTAGAAAGGTTTCTGTGGCACGGTTAAAACTCCAGGTAAGACGTCAACGTGCACGATGCAATTTCCCACGTGCAATTGCCTGAGCAGGAACGAGCCAAGCCCCGCGAGGCCGTCCCATCGCCCGCCCCCTGTCCTAGCCCTGCCCCTTTGTCAAGCGAAGCTCCTCCCCTACTCGCCGTTTCACCCCCTCCCGACAACGTCGGCTTCGTCATATGTCGAGCGACTCACGCGCTCGCTCTCGGCTGTCCCTGGATTGGCGCGCTTGGGCTCCGCCCAGTCGGCGCCGCGCTCGCGCCTGCGCAGTGCCCCGTCGGCGTCTGCGAGGAAGCGCTTCGCCATGGAGGACGGCGGTGGCGGTTGTCAGCGGCGGTCTCAGACGAGCGGGTCGGGGCTGGCGGCCGGCGATGACAAGCCGACCGGGCCCTGGAGCAAGGACAAGAAGGACCCCAACGCCTCCGCTGCGGACAAGGAGCAGGAGCTGGTGAGGGCCGCGGGCGGCAGGCGAGGCGCCGAGCTGAGTCACGGCAGGCCCGGCGCCGGGAGCTGGGGCGAGCTCGTGCCTCAGCCCCGCTTCCTCGGCTCTCCGTCTCCGCTTGGAGACGCAGCGAGACCTGAGCGCCAGCCATTAGGCAGCGCCGGGTTTCAGCCGTGTCAGCCCCGGAGCCTTTTCCTACGGGCTCCTGCTTTGGAATGGGCAGTGGTTGCCAAAGGTGCTCGGGTGTGTCTGAACGTGCAGGGTGATTTTTCGCTGGGAGTCGCGAGATCCGGATTTTGGTGCTCCCGGCTCCGCAGTGTAGTTTACTAAGTGGCGTTAGGTCAGTCATGGATTCTTACCCTAATCTACCTCGCAGGGCTGTTGTTGTGAGGTTGGGTTCCTTGCAAGAAAAAAGTAAGAGTCTAAGTATAAGAAATATAAAAGGAAAGAAAAAAGCATGACGGTTTAGCAGGCTGTGGATTCTAGCATATCCTAAGCCTTCACTTCCCCTGCACACTTATCGTTAAAAATAATCTAACTGATTCTAGTCCAGGCAAGCAGCATTGATTTTCTTGCCTTGTAAAATGAGGAATATGTGGCCATTTGCTCAGTAGGTTTCTTACCTGTGTGGGTGTGCTGTAGAAATTACTGCTAGTAACCTAATTGCTCAGGATAGATATTGACAACCTGTCACTTTGGGAAAGGATGAGATCTGCCACCATGAGAAGCAGGTGTGCCTTCCCACTCTTTGGAAGATTAAGAGCATGGGATCTCTGCTGCCTTGCTGTTCTTGAGACAGGACTGAGAGTGGATGTTAAGCCTGATCTTTCTCTGCTTAGTGGGCTTGTCAGGATTTAGGATCTGTTGGTTCATTCCTTAGGGAGAAAGGTGAAATAGGGCTCAATTAGCCATTACATCTTCAGGTAAAACAAGGAATTAGGATTGGTCCTTCTGTGTTACATGAAATGTCCTCTAGTTGGTAATTAGCCTAGCTCAGTATTAGCTGAGCTAATGCATTTCAAAGCCAGCTTTCTACAACTCACTATCCTGTGCATGTTTAGACTAAACACAGTCATACAACTGGTTGGCTGGGAAATGCTAGGAGTTGTAGAACTGTTGTGTGTGCGTATGTGTGTGTAAACATGCACAGGATTGCACCTTGCAAAATATTCTCTCACCTCTGCTGCTTCAGGTCCTTGGAGTAAAACAGGAATCTTGTATTTATTGATTTCATTTTTATATTGTCCATTAGTCAAGGCTCTCTGGGCAGTTAACAACATAAAATATAAATTATGTTCCTGAGATTCATTCCTCTGATAGATGTTTTGGCCAATAGAAAGCAACCAGGTTGCTCCTTTAGTCTTCCTGGCTTGGCTGTTTGCTAGCATTGTCTGAAGTAGCTATACATAATTGTATTTCTGACTGTTTTGGCATGTTTTATTATCGCAAACTGCTGCCTCCTTTTTGGTGTGATGAAGGATTGGGTATATAATGTTTCTAGTGCTTGATGTTCCTGCCTTTCTGCCTTTATTTACTTAGAATCATGGAACAGTGGGGTTGGAAGGGGCTGGAGGGCCACTGGGACCAAACCCCAGTTCACTGCTTTAACATACCTTATTAAAAATGGATATCAATGCCCCCTCTTTTAAAATGTTGATTAACAGCTTGGCCCACCAAATGGGGCTATTTTGGATTGGGAGAAGGTGAGCTCACCCTCTTTTACTCTAGTTTCCAAAAGGTGTATTTGAGGGACTATGGCTTTTTTTGTTTTAGATTTTGTTGGAGATCTGATTATCACATCTTTTCTCCTTTCTTTGTAGTCCGAGGAAGACAAACAGTTACAAGATGAGCTGGAAATGCTTGTGGAACGCCTGGGGGTAAGTTCTTAGTTCTTGACTGTGAACGTTTGAAACTGTAACAGCAAAACATTGCACTTCTCTGTGGTTTTCCCTAAAGCTATAGAGCACCTGTTTAATAACAACAAACACTGGAGCCACAGGTCACTGTATGGTGTACACACTGTACAATAGATGGGTGTAGTCTGTGCTGGAAGTGGGTTCATTCTCTCCAGGTTTGTGACATCCTCTCTTCCATGCAGAATTCTAACTGTTTCATTTCAATCAACTGAATAAAGAAGTTTTAGTTGATTTACTGGTTGACTAAAAGGCAATAATTATATTTAAACTTGAATGTAGAGGTCCTTTTTTGAGATATCAAAGGAACTAAGATTTAAGAAATAAATGCTACCATTTATTGTTAGACAGAAATGTCATCTTAAAAATTTCTTTTTCGTTCCACTTTAGAACTCCTTCCTAGTTCTTAAGTGGTCGTTAGCTAGAACAAATATTGGAAATTATCTTTATTTGATTTGTGTGTGCTTCAAAAATTTCAACCTGCTATTTTAGTTCTAGGTAATTTTGAAAGCGACACAAAATAAAAATGGATAAAACAAACAGATCAAAGATACAAATAAAAATCAGCTCAAGTAACAAGTTAAAATGAGAATCACAAAATAAAACAGCGAAAGTGGTCAACAGAAAATTGGATTTTATTGACAAAGGCATGAACAAATTTGAGAAGCCTGAATCTAACACTTTAACCTTATCAAAGAAGGCACGTACGTGGGCCTTTGATAAAGATCTTTGATGGGTTCCTACTGGGTAGTGTGAAATGTTGTCTGCAAGGCATCCTTTACGTCTGTTGAAAGAGTAGGTTTCCAGTGGCAAAACGTGGGCTGACTGTTATTGAAACTGTTGGATGCAAGAGGCAGTCCTGTAGGATTTCTACATGCATGTGTGTGTATTTCATGGTAGCCGCGTATCTGATTGCAGGAGCATGACACTTCTCTGTATCGACCAGCTCTGGAGGAACTGCGCAGGCAGATCCGCTCTTCCACAACTTCCATGACTTCTGTGCCCAAGCCCCTGAAGTTTCTTCGGCCACATTATGGCAAATTGAAAGAGATCTATGAGAGCATGGCTGCAGGGCAAAACAAGGTACAGGACCTGAGAGAGTGAAGGGTGCTGTCTTGGTGTTGTTTTTAATGTGTCCCACAAGTGTAGCATCTTGCTGGCTGATAGGTCTTCTTAGTGAGAAAGGAGTCTTGCTGGGTCAGGCAGCAAGATGTCTGCCCCAATTTGTTGTGAAATTACTTAAGTGCAGCTGGTTTGCTCATTTAATAGAAAGGAGTCCAACATTTCTGCCAAGCAATCTTGTGCTTTTTGATTGATTTGACAAGAACAGCTTGTGGAGCTTACCGTACTGTGTCGCTTGCCACTTGGCTTTGGATTTAGGATGTGTGCTGCTTGTCCAGGCAAACTGCAGGCCGCTAGCCCACTTCAAGTTTCAGCAAGCTTTAGTAATGCATTCTTAACATCCAGTTTCTTGTCACAGCGTTTTGCCGCTGATATAATATCTGTCCTGGCCATGACGATGAGCGGGGAGCGAGAGTGTCTGAAATACAGGCTGGTGGGATCCCAGGAGCCCTTGGCCTCATGGGGCCATGAATATGTCAGGTAAGCTATGAATGAAGAAGCTAGATGAGCTGGAACTCCAGGGAGTCTTTCTTGTGCTTGCTATCTTTTGTAAACCTCCAACCAATGTTAAATGTGTAGGGTTATTTTTCTGTACAAGAGAGATGGAGACCCACTGGGTTCTCTGCTGTCATTTGATCAGTTTGCTTCCTACTTTACAGTAGCTTTCTACATTAATGTTTGCAGTGTGTCTTAGTTTCCAAAAGAGTTGTTGGTGTTGGAGCAATCAATCCTGCAAGGCTGCTTCTTTAGCCAGTGCTGGCATAGCTGCTTATCTTGAGGTACCTCTGTAATCCACATTAGTGACCAGAATTGGACATTTTCCCAATGAAGGTTTCACAGGCAAGAGAGTCTCCAAAAGCCAGCTGGTCAATTCATACTAGAACATACTACTTCTGGCATTGGAAGAGCTGCAATTTGACAACCTTGGGTTTGGCTATTTTACGGAGTTTCTAATTTGTGTGGCTGAAGAAAGAGACTTAAAGATGTAAATTTCCTAGTGAAATCTTAGAATCTAGTGGGACATAACTGAATATCATGGGTGCATAGGCAACCTGATTTTTATTTTTTTGCTTGCTCCTTCCTCAAGAGCCTACTTTAGGGTTTCTGTCTATTATTTATCAAAAGTTTTAATTTTTCTGAAAATACGAATTGCAAGCAGACTATTGATCAAATGTATTATAACAACTCATATATTCTCATTGAAGAACTGAGATTGGATGGAAGCGATGAGGCTGCAGGGTAGGGACTTCAAATCTGTGCTATAAAGTTGTCCTCATCCTTTTAAAAATCACGTGGCTGTCAGTGATGCATTTCTCTTTGAAGGCTTGAAGGGGTAACACACTTTTTTCCCCCCAAAAATTGCAGTTCTGCAATTTGTGGCAATCTCAGCTCTGCATTATATACCCTCATAGCTTGGCTAGTGCAATACCTTTCTGTGGGATGTTCTTTGAGGGAAGCTTGAAATGCTGGAACCAGGTTATTATCTGAAGTTAGCTGCAGGGAATACATCTTGCCTGTTTTAAATGCACTTCACTGATTGCTGAATCATTTTCAGCCGTAAAGGATTCCATGAGCTGGGCTCAGGATACTTGAGAGAGATGCTTCTCCCTTCTATTCTTCCTGGCTCTTCCATTTGGAATCTAGAGAGGAAAGTGTCCTGACAGTCCCACTGTCAGTCTGGTAGCCAAGTGCCTTTTTGGTGGGTGCCCCACAAACTCTGGAGTCTGTTGTCCAGTTTGGTTCTACAGGCCCAGGAGTTAGGCCATTTCAGCAAGTGATTGGTTCTCTTCATGGAGGCCTTTTGTGGAATCATGTGAAGTTCAGGCAGAGAAAAGGCCAGGTGGCTGGGGTGTGCTGTGAGTTGTAGGCCTTTTTCTGCCCAAACTTACATAGGATTGTGCCTCTAGATGGTGTTTTAATGCCAGCTTTCTGTATTTAACATGCTCCTAGTGTAATTTGTGCAAATACTGTGATTGCTGTAATTCAATTTGTAATTTCATTCTGTTTTGATGATAATCTGCTATGAAAACAGTCAATGACAATGGGCTATAACCCTGCTGGTAAAATAATGATAAATAAATATGGTTTTTGTTGTCATGCAACTTTCTTCCTTTATCCCCACAGACACCTGGCTGGCGAGGTGGCCAAGGAGTGGCAAGAAATAGATGAGGCAGACAAGACCCAGAAGGACACACTTCTGACCCTTGTGAAGGAGATTGTACCATATAACATGGCCCACAATGCAGAGCACGAAGCCTGTGACTTGCTTATGGAGATTGAGCAGATGGACATGTTAGAGGAATATATCGATGACAATGCCTATGCCAAAGTCTGTCTCTACCTGACCAGGTGAGGCAGCTGAGAGGAGATTGGGATTGCATTTGTAAGAGGTTAATCCATTGGGAGCAGGACTGGCGCCCTGGCTTTAAGGGTATCCAGAGCCTTATTGTTTCTTTGGATCGCCTTGAAAATACAACCATTTGATGGGATGGCAGAAGTATGTTCATCATTCTGTCCATCCACAAAATCTGTGGGACTAAGAAAGCCAGTTTGTGGGATTTAAGTGTGTGAGAGGTAACAAAAATTCAGTTGCATTAAGCCAGCCAGACCTTTGCTCCAGCTGAAGGGTGGACAATTTCTAGCCCTCCCAATGTTTTGTTTATGGCTCCCCTCATCCCTCCCTAGGCATTATGCCAGAGGGTGCCAATGGGAGTCCAGGCTGGACAAAATTTGGGCAACCACACACTGCCCACCCTTGCCGTAGCATCACAACGTAAGACTGGGAGGATAGAGGGGAGAGAAGCAGCCAAACAAACTGGGCGGTGAAGTGGTGCATGTGTTGGCAGAACATGTTGAAAAGAGATGGAGGGCGGATATGAAATGCTCTTGGGTGGCATGGAAGGAGTAGACAGGAGAGACAGAGCTTCAACAGGAAAAGTATTGCTCTTTTGATTCACGGCCAACCAATCTCTGATTCCCAGTTTGATTACAGCTTTCTTTCAGTATTTGCTTGAGGATGTAAAACTAAGACTGGAGCTACACCAGTCAACTTGTGTTTCCAGATGCTCAGCTACCTTTGCAACGTGTTATTAAATAAGGGCTCATTTGCAGGGGCAAAATAGTTATCAGGAGAAGGAGTGTAACCCTTTCCTTGCCAACCTATCCCCCCTGCAACCACTCCACTTATCCCATCTGGTATTCAGGGCCCGTGCTTGTAATAGAATCCTTACTGGGCAGTTGGGGAAGTTAAAGGGGAAATACGGTGGATGGGAGAGAGGTGAAGCGCCCTTCTTCTGTTTGTTGTTTTGCCCCTGTAAATCCTTACCCCGTAATGCATTGTAAGCCACCTAGGAAGGCCATGGCAGTTATAGGCGGCCTATAAATACATGCAAAAATAAATAAAATAAATAAAGAATTGCCTGGACTGCTGGAAAAGTTAGTGAATAACGGCTTACTTCGGAAATCAGAGTGCATAGTAAGTTTTGTTTTGTTATGGCCAGAAAGGTGTGGCCCTCAAGTCTGGTCAAAAGCACAGAGCTGATGCTTGCTTGGTTGGTTTTTATAACTAGGTTGGAAGACTGCTGTTTCCTTCAACCCTTTTGTGTTGATGGGATGATTAAATACTCGGTTCAGGGGGCAAATGGGAGCACCTGTGTGTGCAGTTGTGGTGTTTGCTGCCTCGCTGGTTCCATTCTCAGTGAGGGAACTTGTTTCCTCTTGGCCTTGGTGCCGGCCAAGCTTCACCTCTTTTTCTCTCTCTCCTGAAGCTGCGTCAGCTACGTCCCTGAGCCTGAGAACTCTGCGCTGCTCCGCTGTGCACTCAGCATCTTCCGCAAGTTCAATCGGTACCCGGAAGCCCTGCGCCTAGCCCTTATGCTGAATGACATGGAACTGGCAGAGAACATCTTCATCTCTTGCAAAGACGTGTATGTGTCATCTGCACCCAACCCTGGGATCTGCTGCTGAACTCCAGCTGGCTGAGGGATGGGCAAGAGGGAGCGAGAATGGAATCTGACTAGTTCGGTCTTGGGCTGCTGGGCTAACATTCACTTTACACAGCAGGGAGGGGAATGAGGTCCAGGCTCCCTGCTAGCTTAACTAAAGCTGGGTCTTGGCACTTTTGCTCATTGTTCGTGGCTGGTCCGCGTCTTAAAATGGGTGAATAGGAATGGGGTATTGAAAGGCCCACACAAAGAGCACTCCAGCACTTTGGGGGACCTAAGTTCAGATCCCCTCTCGGACAAGAACCTCAGTGGGTGACCTTAGGCCAGTAGCTATCTCTTCTTTCTTTCTTTCTTTCTTTCTTTCTTTCTTTCTTTCTTTCTTTCTTTCTTTCATTCATTCATTCATTCATTCATTCATTCATTCATTCATTCATTTCTCGATTTATATCTTGCCTTTTTCCTACAAAGGACTCAAGGCAGCTTGCATCATTCTCCTCCTTCATCTTCTCCCCACAACAACCCTGTGAGGTAGGTTGGTCTGAGCGTCTGTGACTGGCCCAAAGTCACCCAGTTGGCTCCATGGCTGAGCGGGGACTCGAACCCGGATCGCCTGAGTCCCAGTCCCATGCTCTTCACCACGACACACCCTGGCTCTCATCATCTTTTCATCAAGTCTACTTTGCAGGGTACTTGTGTGGATAACATGGAGGGTGCGGAGTGATGCATGGTGCCCCAAACCTCTTGGAGGAAGGGTGGAATATTAAAAAAAAAGCAAATGAATAAGAATGAAGCTGACAAATGCAGGTAAACAGAAGGTAGGCCGAAGGCTACCGGTGCTTATGGTTTAGATTCTGGTGGACATACAAGCATTTGTAGGGACTCTTGCAAAGAACCCCAGACAAGCGGGGCCTTTATCTGATCTGCGGGGGGTTTTAAAACCCTTAAAGAAGACTAATTCTTTCTTAGCTGTGAAGAGATCCTCTTGCTTTAGAAACGTAAAGTACATTGATTGAGCCTAAGAAAACAGACTCAAATAGAGTAAAATGAAAAGTGGGCCATGCAAGTCTGAGGTCTGCCAATCTTGGGAAATAAGGGAGAACAAGTGGGGACCCAGTGCCAAGGTCACCTGTGCAGCCCCCATGCAGTTTTCGAATCGAGCAGATCTGCACGTCTGCTTCTTTGGCATTGTTTGCCCTGTCCTGGTATTTTGGCAGCCAGACGTGCGCCTCTTTCGCAGCACAGAATTGCAGGCTTTTTTTCCATAGAGAAATTAGCCTTGACAGGTCAGAAACTGGTCAATCAGCTTGTTTCCATTACTTGTTCCCTGCTGTTGTGACAAAAACAGAAAACAGGGTAGATTCTAACAACTAAATCAATAGATATGCCAAGCTAAAGGTAAAAACAAGCTTTCAGAAATCCTTCAAGCAAATCCAAGGCTTATTGAAAGTCTGCCTCAGGCAGATCCTCTCGATCAGAAGTGCCTGTGATGCCTTCAACAAATGCTGAAATCTGAGAAGATGGCTCAGAAGTGCCTGTGAACCTTGCAGCTGTGGTCAGTGGGAAGTGTTGCATGCCCGCTTCCTGGTGCTGATATCTCTGTGTGTGGCCTGTCCTTTCCTGCAGGGTTGTCCAAAAGCAAATGGCCTTCATGCTGGGTCGCCACGGCATCTTTCTGGAGCTGAGCGAGGACGTGGAAGAATACGAGGATCTCACAGAAATCATGTCCAACGTCCAGCTCAACAGCAACTTTCTAGCCCTGGCCAGGGAGGTCAGTGCTTTGCAGGCTGCTAGCAGCTTGTGGTCAAATGGCTTAGTGCAGGATTCTACAATCTGATGCCCCCCTCCAAATGGTTTGGACTACAGCTCTCAATACGTCTCACTGGTGCTGCTGGCTGGGGCTGATGGTGCTGAAATCTGAAGCATCTGGAAGGCCCCAGGCTGGGGAAGGTTGCGTTATTGCTTTCTCCCTTAGGCTATGCAGTTCTCCCTCAACCCTGGATTAATCTTTGCTTTTATTGGCTATCATGGGGCATGGTATTAGGTAGGGGTGGGACCTAGAGGTGAACTGGTCAGCTTCAGTGTTTCTGGCTCATTCAGAGATGGCATCCTGCACAGGCCTGTTGCAAACCCAGGTCCTGATGTGGGCGCTGCCGTGGTGTCCTGGAAAGGACGAGGAAGGTGAGCTGTGGCATTGCTGGCATGGCAGAGTAACTGGGTGTGGAGAGATGACTCTTGGGGAGGCTGAATGGCAGTTTATGCGTGGTTTCAGGGAAAGATGAGGCTGACCTTAAGGGCAGGCGGGCAAAGGAGAGATGCATAGCCTTGCTCTAAACCCTGCTGTGGCATCTGGCTCGCCGCTGTTGGTGAGGAGCTAGCTCACCCTTCACCAAGCCATAGTTCCAAGGCATTTGCAGGGTCCCAGCTCAAGCTCCTGGCATTGCCCTAGCCAGCTGCTGGAAAATGCGGGGAGCTGTAGCCGAGCATAACTGTGGGGGCAGCACCCTGAGGAAGGCCGAGCTAGATGAACAATTTAACTTCCTACTGGGAGGGTACATTGAGGGAGGCAGTGCGATGCCGTGTTGTGTCTGGAAGAGAAGAGTAACTTCTCCGTTTGCTTCCAGCTGGACATCATGGAACCCAAAGTCCCAGATGATATTTACAAAACCCACCTAGAAAATAACCGTAAGTGCTGCACTTGGGGGGCTGGGGGCTGGCTCTGGGGCCAAGGCCTTCTGGGGTGTATCTGGGACGTTTGTTCTAATTCCTGGCATGGGTTAAATCACATGGACCGTGAGCTACAGACCTTCAGTGGCGCTTTTACCTGGCAGGCTTTTGAAACTTTACACTTTGTATGGGGAGAAAGGCTTCACTGCACTCCAGACTACAATTTTTAATTAAGGGCAGTGCCATGCCGGTTTATACCAGTGCTGGTCAGCCGCTGTCCTGTGACCCAGATCAAGTCTCTGGGCAGCCTCGCCTGGTCCCTAGCACATCTTCCAAATTTTACGCCAGTAAAGTGGTTTCATTTGTAAGGAAATAAATGTTTTTGCACTGTCATGACATCACTGTGAGGTTTTTAATGGCCCATAATATAAAAAGGAGAAACATTTTGAATTTAGTTTTCAATTTGCTTGTTGCTTTTTTGGAAGCAGGTGCACAAAGTGGTGTATATGGAAATGTCTGGAAGTCATAAAACAAATTCAGACTGATCACTCTCAATCATCATAGGGTTGTATGGTCCTAAATTAAGTTTTTAAAACCCTAAGTAGACTGGGTAGGTAGATTTTACCCCTTAAAATCCCCCTTAAGAGGGTGCCACAACTGAAAATCCTCTGTATTTAGTGGCAGTTAGCCTCAGCTGAAGAATGGGGTAAAAATGCTTCAAAAATAAATATGCAGCAACCCTTCCTGTAAATAGTCTAGTTAAAGCTGAGCAGGCTTGATCACATCTCTTATTACTTGTGGTTGATGTAATAGTTGCACATCCACCTTTACATTTTTCTGCTGGTTTGGGTTAAAACAATCTTAAAACTTAACTACACACAATGGTGGCAGTTGCAACTCTGTTTTAATAATTATCTGAGTGCAGAATGTAAAGATTCAAATGAGTGCTTAAACAGATGTGTTGGACAAAATGAATTGCTGAAAGATGAACTTGGGTTAGAAGCAGAGCTTTTCCATTCTGCAGCTCCATGTGTAATGGAGGTCCATGCAGTCAGATTGAGAAATATGTGATGGTGCCTGAGCTCATGTGCAGCCGAGCTGGGAAGCGCTGCACTGCCTGACTTCAGTTTTGAGCCTGACCACTCAAAGGGAGGGGGGTCAGTTTGCTCCGTAAGCATCGTCTTGAAAATTGCGTGGCCCCCGTCTCCGCTGTGGTTTGCTATCCCTGCTTCACACCTAGTCGGTCTTGCATTTCTTATCTTACAGAATGCCGTGCATTGCTATACAATTTGTTAATCGTGAAATAAATGTGACTTCCTGTGTTAAGCAGGCTGTCATTCAGGCAGGCAGTGCAGTTGTCTGGATGACTGCAGATGCGGCCAGCCCTTCTCTTCTTGCAAAAAGGGTCTCCTTTCTCTTTAGAATCCCACAAAGAGGGTGGCCGAGGTGTGTGTGAATGGACCACCCACGCAAGGAGAGGGAGTCATTCCGTGTGGCGGCTGAAGACTCTGGCCTGCATGTCAGTCCTCCGTGGCTCACCCTTGCCCGTTCTGTTTTCCCAGGGTTTGGGGGCAGCGGCTCCCAGGTGGACTCGGCCCGCATGAACTTGGCTTCGTCCTTCGTGAATGGTTTTGTGAACGCTGCCTTTGGGCAGGACAAGCTGCTGACGGACGATGGCAACAAGTGGTTGTACAAGAACAAGGACCATGGTGAGGAGGAAGACGAGCACGTGGCAGCGGGTCTGCTTGGGAGAGGATGCTGTGCAGCGCTGGGGTTTTCTCCTTGTATCTGCTGCGAGAAAACCTGACTGAATGGCACCCTTTACAGGGAATGAGTGGTGCTACTGGCGATTTTTGGTTTTGCTTTCATATGGTTTTTATATATTGCTTTTATATAGTACCTTTCCTAAGGGCCTGCACATTTTTCTTGACCAGTGAATGATAAGGTTCATTGCTGAGTTTTTGCTGCAATGGCTGTGGCACAGTTGGTTGCTAGCAGGGTGTCCCAGCATGGCCTTCTAATGGCTGCCATACCAGAGTGCTCTGCACCAGAGAGGGGCATTAAACTAACAGTTCTGGAGCAAACTAGATGTGATGGAGACTGGCTTGGGGCTTTTGTTTCTTTGCTTTGGTTTATACCTCATTCAGTCATGAAGTAGATGGGAGGTCGAAGAGGTAGGCAAACGAAGAAACAAATGTGGCCATGTGGACTGGGAATTGTGGGAGTTTGCAGTTGAACAGAGCTGGAGAGCACCAGTTGGGAGAAGCCAGATTGGAGCTCCCTGTGACCCATGAGACTTCTGGAGCACAGGAGGTTGGGGATGCAGCCTTGCAGCTCTCTGGCAAGCTCTTCCTGCTTTGGGGCTTTCTGCAGTTACAAACAAGGCAGCATGGTAGCAAATGCAGTGCTGCTTGGCTTCCTTTCCAAGGCTGTTGGGCCCGTGGCTTGGCCTTCCCTCCCGGGTTCAGTGCTGTACGTTTGAAAGCCATATCACTTGCTCATGGGGCTGGCTGGCTTTGTGGAGCCAAGAGGGTCTGCTTGCAACTCATTGGCTAAACATCCTCCCAGGGAGCTAGTAGCTGGGCTGGAGTTTTACATAGTACCTGTAGGTTTGAAATGTGGAGGGTCTCTACTTACTGTTCTTTCCAGGTTTAGCATCACTGTGTGAAGAAGAAAAGGGAGGCTTTTTTTTTTTTTTTTGCTCAATCCTGTCATCTCAAGTCACTGGAAAAGTTTACCAGAGCTGCTTGTCCTTCTTGGGTTTCTTAAACTCATTCCTTCCTCATTCCCAACCATGCCAAAATAGGCAGACTTGCTCCCACAGGCCAGGTTTAACCCTGGCATTTTCAAAAGTTTAAAAAAGCACTTCCTTGTTTGTTTGGTTTTTTTTGCAGGCGTATATGCACAACAATTGTGTATAGAAATAGGAACCCTTGGCCTGTTTTTCAAAAGTGACTTTATGTATTATTTAAACACTTATGTCCCGTTTATACCAAACAGGTGTCAAGATGGCTTACAGAAAAAGCGGTTCAATTAAAATAGGAATTTAAATGTTTTCATTTTCTGTCTTAAAATACCATGAAACCTTAAAATACTGGGTAAATAAAAAGGTTTTGGCCTGAAATGAATAAAGTGTCAGCATCAGGTGGACCTCTCTGGGGAGCAGGTTCTAAAGCTGGGGAACTATCACAGAAAAGACCCTTCTCTGGATAGCCACTCTTCTAACCACCTTCAAAGAGAGCTCCTTAAGAAGGACCTCAGAGGAAGAACTTAAGGCTCGGGCAGGCATATACCGAAGGAGACTTTACTTCAGATATCCAGGCCCTAAACTGTTTGGGGTTTTGTAAGTCAAAGTTAACACCCCGAATTGGCCCTGAACTTCAGTTGGTAGCCAGTGCAGATGGTACAGGACCAGCGTTATATGGCTGCACCTGGCAGTCCCTGTCAGTAACCTGGCTGCTCCATCTTGTACCAACTGAAGTATCAGACCATCTTCAAGGGTAGCCCCATGTAGAGCACATTAGAATAGTCCAACCGGGAGGTTACTAGAGCATGGGTCACTGTTGCTAGACCCTGCTCATCCAGGTTAGGATGCAGTTGATGGACCAGCCGAAGCTGGTGGAAAGCACTCCTTGCTACAGCAGTCACCTGGAACTCCAGAGATAACTCTGGGTTGAGGAGCACTCACAAACTGCACACTCTGTCCCTTAGGGGGAGTGCAACCCCATCCAGAACAGGTCAGATATCACTTACCGGAATAGCTGAGCCGCCTACCAACAGAACCTGTTTTATCTGGATTAAATCTCAATTTATTGGCCCTTACCCAGACTATTACACTGGCCAGAGACTGATTCAGAACAGCTACTGCCTCACCTGGATTAGATGTACAGGAGAGGTAGAGCTGAGTGTCTTCAGTGTACTGGTGACACCTCAACCCTAGCCTTTGGATGACCTCTCCCAGCAGTTTCACATAGATGTTGAATAGTATTGGGGATAAAATGGAACCCTGTGGAACTCCATGGCATAATTGCAATGGCACAGAGCCATAATCCTTTCTGGAATCAACCAGCGAAGTAGGAGTGGACCACTGTAAAGCAGTGTCTCCAACCCCCAACCGAGCCATTCTATCCACAAGGACCATGATCAAGGGTATCAAAAGCTGCTGAGACGTCCAGAAGAACCAACAGGGATGCACTCCCCCGGCCCTTTGGTAGCACACATTATCATACAGGGTAGTCAAGGCCATTTCAGTCCAAAAGCCCTCTGGATTGGAATGGGTCCAGAGGGTCTTTTTGCTCCAAGAGTGCCTGCAGTTGGCTGGCCACCACTTGCTTGAGCACCTTGTCCAGGAATGGGACATGAGCCACCAGTTTATAGTTGGTGGCAACATCTGGATCCAGGTTTGCCTTCATTAGGAGAGGACTAATAACCACCTCCTTCAAGGGAGCAGGAACCAGCTCCTCCTTCAGAGAGGGGTTTACAACTTCCTGGACCCAAGTATGCATTCTGGCCTTGGTTTTGGCGATCAGCCATGAAGGGCAAGGGTCAAGTAAACAGGTGGTAGTTGGAATTGTCCAAGCACCTTGCCCATATGCTCAGGCTGCAATAATTGAAAATTATCCAACAAACATGGACTAGATGGTGCTGTGGACATCTTCACTGCAGGAACAATGCTAACTGTAGAGTCCAACTCGTGGTAAATCTGAGTGACTTTATCCCTAAAGTGCTGTGCAAATTCGTCACAGCGGGCCACTAAGGGTTCAAGAGGATCCATCTTGGGCCCGGAGAGTAACAGGCCCTGCACTACCCGGAAGAGCTCCGCTGGACGCCACTGTGAGGGTGCAATGGAAGTGGAGAAGAAAGGCACTAAAATGAATTGCTATCTTCCTGTTAAGCCAGCAGTGGTGCAACTGGTTTATTTATGTGATTTTGTCAGACTAGATCCTGAATTAGATAAGTACTTATAGCAGTGGCCTTACTGGAAATTTGTGTCCAGGAGAACATTTCTGAAGTTGATTGAAAAAGGAATCTGTATGAAGAAACTGGAATATTATTATTATTATTATTATTATTATTATTATTATTATTATTATAACATTTCTATGCCGCCCCTTGCCGAAACCTCGGGGCGGCTTACAACATGATAAAATACATTGAAATACAATAGTACATAATAAATTACCATTAAATATAACAATACAAAAAATACATTGATTTACAAATACAACATTAAAATTATCAGTATAAAATAAAAAATATAGGAGGAGAAAGAGAAGGAAGAAGAAGTTGCCCAGGCCAGATCATATGTTTTAACAATTGAAATGATGTTTAAATAAAAAGGTCTTTACCTGGCGCCGAAAAACCAGTAACGACGGTGCCAGGCGGACCTCTTTGGGGAATATTCCAGTCTTGATCAACTGTATATCATGAAGGAGCACCTGAGAGCCCAGTCAGTATTATTCATAAGGGAATTTGTTTGGCATCTGTAGAAATAAATTTGCTAGATGTCAGGGTACCTATGTAAGATTTTTCTCAGTTCCTGCATTTTATATATTTTCCTGAATATCTATTTCATATTCTCCATTTAAATGAATAAACAAGTAATTGCTGCCCAAAATGAGGGGTGTTTGTAAGCACTTAATGCCCCATAATGTTAATATCTAGGTCAGCAACCGTTGCTTATGGACAATAAATGTCTGGATTCAGTTTAGTCGAGAATGATCCAGTTTATGGCTTGATGCTAAGAAGCTTTCGCCTCTCTTGTGCAGGGATGCTGAGTGCTGCAGCCTCACTGGGCATGATCCTGCTCTGGGACGTGGACGGGGGTCTCACACAGATTGACAAATACCTGTATTCCTCAGAAGACTACATAAAGGTGGGTGGTCCTCCTCTCAGCCTGAGCGCTGCTGCACTCAAGAGTCACATAGCCAAGTCATGGCACAAACTGTTCTTACAAACAGACATTTTCCCTAGACTGGGCCATAGCATTGGTAGACAAATGGGTTTTAGAATTTTGAATATTTTCAGTGCTCTCATAAAGTGGCTGCCATGGGAGAGCTTGTCCATTCAGGTTTGATCTAGAAGGCTGCCATGCTGTGAAGGGAAGTGTCCTCCTGCACCTTTCTTGACTCAGATTTAAAAGCATTCTTTTGTGCTTTGGAGCTGCCATGTACTTAGGCTTTGGGGTAGGTTTTCTTTACCTTTCACCAGTTTACCTTCTGGGAAATGTAGGTTTGGTGGCTCACCATGCCCACAATGATCGCCCTTTTATGAATGGCAAGACCCCCATGGCAGCCCCACCAAAGTGCCTGCAGCACTTTGTTAAAATACAGAACATGCCCATTAACATGAGAAGGTTGGGGCCCGTGGTGTAGATTGCTGATGCTATCGGTCCCCTCCTCTTTAACTGTACTCTTCAATGTTTTTATTAGTAGCTTGGAGGAAGAGATGAGAAACATGCCTACTGAATTTGCAGGAGGCACAGAAATTCAAAGCTATAGTGCTAAGTTAGAAAACAGGACAGAATGTAACAAAACAAAGCAAGTGGAAGGGTCTTCATTTAGGAAAGTGAAATTAAGCACAGGGATAAGACCGGTGGTGCAACTTGGCTTGGCCACAGTGCCTGCGAAATGTGTCTTGGTATTACAGTGGGTTGCAAGCTGAATATGAGTCAGTGCTTGCAGAAAAACAAAAAACACCCCAAAACAAAACAAAGGCAAATGTAAGTTTAGTTTGCAACAATAGAAATATACTTTGAAAATCATAGGAAGTAACAATTCCACTCCATTTGGCACCAGTCAGACCCCACCATAAGGTTCTGGACTCCACACTAAGAAGGACTCAAATAAATTGGAAGGAGTTCAGAAAAGGGTAATGGACGGAGATCCCCAGGGACTAGAGTCAGGTCCTGAGAGGAAGGATTGATGGAAGTGGATATGTTTAGCCTTGCAAGGAGCAGGCTGGGAGGAGGGTTGTCGCACAGAAGAGGGCTACAAACTATGCTCTCACCCAAAACTGTAGTTATTTGAAATAATGGATTGAAGTTAGAATAAGTACCTTCAGTTATTACAGAAAAACATTCTATTGATCTGAGCAGCCAGACAATGGGGCAAACTTCTACACAGATAGTGGGTTTTTTGTACTGAAAATATTCCGGTAGAGACTGCATAGCCATTTCGGGGGGTGCTTTAAGATGGATTCCTACACTGAGCTAGTGTTGGACTGGATGGTCTGAACAGCATCTTTGAACTGCTCTTGCTCTGAAGAGCGTGCCGGACATCCCTCGTTGCACCGTGTGTTATACTGAACTGTGCTGTTCCCTCTTCGTTTCCTTTAGTCTGGCGCTCTCCTGGCGTGTGGCATTGTGAACTCTGGGGTGAGGAACGAGTGTGACCCTGCCCTGGCGCTGCTCTCAGACTATGTCCTGCACAACAGCAGCACCATGCGGCTTGGCGCCATCTTTGGGTAAGGCCCTCCCTACACTTCCTTTTCTTTCTTCGTGGAATGTGACATAAATACTCAAAAAGTTATTTGAATGGTTAACTGTTGATTCTTTATTTATGGGGTTCTATATCGTGCCAAGATGTCTCCGGGTTTTTAAGGTTAGTTGTGTGTATAGTTTGTTTTGTAAGCCTCCCCGAGGCTCTTTGTGAATGGGGCGGCATAGAAATGTTTTAAATAAATAATAATAACATGGTGCTCTCTCGTAGGCTGGGGTTGGCATATGCTGGGTCCAACCGAGAAGATGTCCTGACCTTGCTGCTTCCTGTGATGGGTGATTCCAAATCCAGCATGGAGGTGAGGGGAAGATGCCACAGCTCTCTCGGGTCAGCTGCTTGAGCGGTGGAGGGCCGGCTTGACATGTGGGTGGGGTAGCAGATCTGGAGTTCCTCATGCTCCAGCAAAAGTCTGAGCTGGGAATGTCCGAGGTGAGCAGAACTTTAACTGTTTTTGATGTTTACATGGCAAGCCTGACATGTCTTCCAATTTTGCTTAAGTCAGGACTGGGAATGTGTATCTGACATGAATCCCCTCGAAAAGGCCTGCTGGTCAAGGCTTCTGATCATGTGGAGCCTTGGGGAGTAGGGCCTTTCCAGGTGATCCCAGGGGTGTTGGTGGGTTCATACACAGTCCCTCCAGAAAGGGCATCTGGAATTGGCATGACTGCCAAGTACCCGTCTGGCTGCGTCCCCAGTGGGGTCCCCTCCAGCTGTGAAGGTGGTGTTGTGAAATGCACTTCTTTCAGGTTGCCGGTGTGACGGCCCTGGCCTGCGGAATGATTGCCGTGGGCTCCTGCAATGGAGATGTCACCTCCACCATCCTGCAGACTATCATGGAGAAGTCTGAGACGGAGCTGAAGGACACGTACGCCAGATGGCTGCCTCTTGGTCTGGGCTTGAACCACCTCGGTGAGTGCACTCGCTGGAGCCGGGCTGTGTGTGTCAACCAGACCTGCGCCGGGACCACTGCCCTTCCTGGAATGTGGGACTTTGGGGATCATGGCCGCAAAATAGCTGTCAGAGGGAGCCTGGCCCGGTCATAAAATGGCTGCTATGGTGGGCCTGGCATGAGGCACTTATTTCTTAAAAGGTAAACCGGTGAGACCGAAAGAAAAGTAGTTGCCAAGAACGTAAGTCGAATATTGTCGGGGGGTCTGTGCTCTAAAGTGGAAAACTGCTCCTTTCAACTCAAACAAAGATGGAATTCTTACAGTTTCTTGAAGGGAAAAGGCTTAGGAGGCAATCCTCAGGAGGGGCAGGGAGCCTGGTGGGCAGCAAGGGAGGTGTCCGTTGAGTCACTGGTGCTGGAGGGCACCTGTTTCACGCCCTGCTGCTGGGCAGCTGCCCCTCCATGTTACTTGGCTGTATGCTGGGCATGTGGTGGGCAGCTCCTCGTTCTCCTCTCTCTCAACTTCTGTGCTCTGCCCCAGCCTGGTGATGCTGTTGTGGGTGCATCATGGCTACTTCCTTGCTACCGTCGAGCCACTGAAACTCGGAGAGACAGTCTAAGAAGTAGATGCCCTTCCTGTTCCATCAGGGCGCTTTTGCCATGGGCAGGGGAAAGTGCTGTTAGAGCTGCTTCTCCTGCCCACTGAAGGTTGGACTGGGTGATTGTATAGCATGAAGTGGGGTGTTTGGGCAGCTCTGTAATATGCGAGTAGCTAAATGGTCCAGGGAGAGAGAGGAGAAGCTGCTTTGGGTGAGAGCACAGCAAAGCAGCACCGAGAGAGCCTGCTCAACTTTTCTGGCCACCAAGTGGCCTTCCTGTTGCCTCCAGGTCTGGCCAGGTCCAGTCCTTTCCCACATTACCCTTCCTAGTACAGCCTGCTGCTTTTGTAAATTGGTTTTAATTAGGAATTAAGATGTTAAATCCCTTAATTTAACATCTGCCTCTACGTAGTGTTACATTTACTGCTTCCCAGCCTAGTTTTTGTTAATGGATTATTTATCTTCTTTCTGAGGTCCTTCCAGTGCTTTTGGGTTATTCTTTGACATCATGCCAGCCACAGTCCCAGACTTTTCTTTGGGCAGGATCCAAAGGCTGGGAGCAATTTTGCTCTATCGCATAAGCACTTCCGCGCTCCCTGTTCTAGTGACAGATTGCTCTACTTCCCTCCCCCATCCACGAAGAAGGAAACAGAATTCTCTTCCCCTTCTCACCTGCGAGCACACATGCAGGGGCCTCTTAAAACACTGCCCCCAATCACTTTTAATGAATTGCTCCCCCTCCCCCCCCCAAAAAAATTGTGCATAAACCTGGTTTAAAGCTAGCAAAAAAGTACAGGCAGTCCCTGGGTTACAAATGAATTTCATTCCTGAGAAAATGGACATTTGTCTTTAAGTCAAATTTGTATGTAAGTCATTACATATAGTTGGCCTTCCATATTCCCGGTGCAAATGAAAAAGCTGCAAATGACTGTACCCCCTCGCCTGTGCCCAAACTCAGCAGTGCTGCCTCTTTGCAGGACGGAGAGGCCAGAGAGATTGCCCTTCTGGATGGGTGGGGCAGGAAGGCGTGCTTTGGAGGCATCCTTCTCTACCCTTTCCCTTTCCCTTTCTAGGGTGACGATGACAATTTCCTGCAGTATTTTTTTTGATTAATAGGCTTTATGGCACTTCATTCATAAGTATGGGTTGTTCATAACTCCGGGACTGCCTGTATGGTGACCTCCAGATATGTTCAGCTTGAGTCTGTCGGTTCCAGCCAGCACGACTGGTGGTCAGGAATTCTGGGAGTTCAAGCCTGAAACATCTGGAGGACACCAGGAGGAAGAAGGCCCGCCTAGTCTTTTGGAGCAGTTGCAGACAGGGGCCAGAAGCGGCTTGCAAACACTGAGCCGGTGGAGGATGCTTTGGGTGCTGCTTTGCGTTGGGTGTGTCACATGCTAGAGAATCTTGCTTAATGTCCGAAGGAGTAGCTGTGCTAGTTTGCTGCAGCGAAAAAAGAAAAAAAAAGCAAAGTCTTGTTAGACTTGATGACTTAACAGTTTATGGCATAAACATGGATGGACCAGAGTCTGCTTCCTCCATACAAGTTGACGCCATAAGGAACTTGCTGTTCTGTAAGGTGACTGAAGATTCTCTGCTGCTTTTGCTTCCATGTGTTGGGCGATGGATGTGTAGACCTTTCCGCTTTTGGCTACCCAAATCCCAAGTCACTAACCTGAGCTAGTCTGTAGCTGCTGTTGTGATGGTGCGCCTCTGTTTCTCACAGGCAAGGGCGAGGCCATTGAAGCAATCCTGGCAGCCCTGCAGGTCGTTTCGGAGCCGTTCCGCAGCTTTGCCAACACCTTGGTGGACATCTGTGCCTATGCAGGTCAGTCTGAGCTCCTCTTTCTTCCAGGTGCTTGTGCTGGGAGTTGGGCATCAAAGGCCCATTTCACTCATGCCCAGTGTCCTTCCTCCAGGGTCTGGCAATGTGCTGAAGGTGCAACAGCTCCTCCATATCTGCAGTGAGCATTTTGATTCCAAAGAGAAGGAGGAGGAGAAAGAGAAGAAGGAGAAGAAAGACAAGGAGAAGAAGGAAACACCTGCTGACATGGGGGCCCACCAGGTAGGCCGGGGGCTGCAGGTGCAGCAATAGGCAGGATGTCCTTTTTACTCTTTCTCTCTCTCTGCTGTGGGAGGTGGGCTACTGCTGATGGGCAGAGACTGTAACTCAGTGATAGGGCCATGCATGCGGAAGCGCCCAGTTTTCCTCCCTGAAATCTCTAGCTAAAGGAATCAAACAGGATGTGATGGGAAAGACCTTCCCTGGCCGAGACCTGGGTGGTGGCGGGGGCACAGCCATTCAGTGCGGTCAGCACCAAGGTTGATGGGCAGTTGGTTTGATCCAGCATAAGGCAGCAGACCTGCAGTCATGTGGCTGAGTGTTGGAAGGGCAAGAGCCATCCTGCTCCCCAGGCAGGCTGCTTTCAGTACTGGCTGCACTTTATTTTCTGTAGTGCAAACGAACCCAAATTCTGCTGCAAGAACAGCTGGATTCTGTGAACTTAGACAAGTGGTGCAGCTTGCATGTATCTTGCTGGCATTGGTGTTGCGGGTTGATAACCTGAGTGTACAAAAGAATTTGGTGAATGGACCCGTTGGGCACTGTTACTGGATAAAAGTTAATTATTTTAAACATTAACTTAAAGCTTCGCTCCATATGAAGCAGTCTAGTTAGTTGGATTGTTTCTTAAGTATCAGCAACTATTCACTTGTAGGACAGTGTTCTGTAAACATGTATAGTCAAACAGTTCTGATCTGGACTTCATCCAGGAGCTGAAGGAGCCCTCAATGTTTTTTAGTACAATAATGAATCATTTTATTAATGCATAGTTAATGCTGTATTTATACTTACATTGGAAAAGGCAAAAGTCAGACTTACAATGAAATTTGGTTATATTGAGGTCAGCAGTAGGGTGGTTGTCACTTGCAGAATCATGGAGCAAAGTTTTACTGGAAGGCAGTTCGTGTGGAAGCATTCTTGGCTCCATGGAATGTTTGGCAAGAATTGGTCCTGCTCATGGGAAAATGCCAGGTCGGGCCAATAGGCCTTCTAGCTCAGGATTGTCTCCAGCAGTGGTGGGAGGCCTTAGGCTTGGGGCAGAGCCAGCCCTCCTGGGGTTCCAGTCTGCTGCTCTAGGGTTCCCCAGATAATGATGCCCCCTTCTTCTGCCTCCCTTTCCCCTGCTTACTCCTGAACCCCAGTCACCAGTCTTCTGCTTGTTTCCTTGCTTTTGTGTAGTCTTTTTGTTTATTTATTATTTATATATACCCTGCCTTTTTCTTTTTTTAAAGAACTCAACCCAGCTCACGTAATTCTCCCCTTCCTGCTCTCAGTCTTATGCCCACAGCAACAACCCTGTGAGGTAGGTTGGGCTGAGAGTCTGTGACTGGCCCAAAGTTACCCGGTTGGCTCCATAGCTGGGCAGGGACTATAGGGCCCAGATCACCTGAGTCCAGTGCTCTTAACCACTGCAGCGCACTGGCTCTCATTTTTCCCCATTCAGAATGGTAGAAATGCCTCTCCCGAGGCTTTGTTACTGGCATACACTATGTTATGTTACACTATACTGATATCTTTCGTATGTCAGCTTCCCCTATTATTTGCCTTTGGCCTGGCTCCCTTGGAAAATGACCCCTAAGTGCATCTTTGAAATGGAATTCTGCCCTTGGTCTATGAGTATTTCAGTCTCCAGGGTTTCAGGCAGCAGCCTTTCCCAGCTCAGGAAGTGCCAGAGAGTTTCTGTGCACAAAGTATGCGCGGTAGCCTAAGTTACGTCCCTTCTACAAAATATTACCAGGAATGAATTGCTAATATTTGACTGGTGGTACAGTCCCGTATTTTGATTCTGTTAATCATGGGGATGGTAAAAGAATTGGGTGGGTGCTGAAATCTTGTCCCTTTCAGCCATCTTGCCCTGGGAATCATAAACTTCATTGGATATTCCTCATGTAAGCATAAAGGATAAAAAGTTTTAAGTTTTTGGAGTTTCTCACTTATCTTTGCTTGTCCAGATAAATTACAGCATAAGCAGGGTCCTGGTCTAAAATAATGAGCAGCAAAGAATCAGAGCTTGCTTGACAGAATACAGAGGGTTGGCTTTGGGGAGGGTGGGGGACTATTCCCTGGAAGTCTCTCCTCTCTTCCTGATATGGCCCTGCCCAAATAGCTGAGAAGCCACACTTTGTTTTCTGGGAATGGTGTTTCATCCATGTCACAAGATGTCCATGTGGTGTCAGTATCTTTCTCTCCTGCTGTAGGGAGTAGCAGTGCTGGGAATCGCGCTGATCGCCATGGGGGAGGAGATCGGAGCTGAGATGGCATTGCGCACTTTTGGTCACCTGGTAAGTAAGAAAAGGGGGGGGTGAGAGGGGGGGTTATTGGCCCCTGGGACATGTATTTAACTGCAATGATTTATGTAATCCACTGGGGCCATCATTTGAACGATTTATTCAGATGAGATAGTTTGTTTATTTCATTTTTATACTGCCCCATAGCCAAAGCTCTGTGAATGGTTAACAAAATGACTAGGATGACAATGAATTAATAAACTTGCTAGTCAAGTTCATTGGCTGGATTTGAAAGCTGCTTTCTCTTTCAAAGAGCTTTAGATTTAAGGTTGGCATAAAAAAAAATTCTCCAGGATTATAAACTAGTTTGGGATTAGATTCTTTCTTATACTCCAGCATGGTAATTAGGAGAGCCTTTGGCTTGATCAGCCTTGGATCAATAGCACAGGGCAAGTCAGATCCCTGGAAATTCTTGTGAGGTAGGAATATATCCCATGTAAACAGGACTGAAATCCTTTTGTGCTACAGCTAATTTGTGGTAGGTCTTACTTAGGACGGAATTTTGAATTTGAAGGGCTGTATGCTGAGGGAGCATTTTGGGCCTGGGGAGCACAGTGAAGATTTGTCTGAACTCATTTGCTGTTTCCTGCAAGCCCCAAGCTCTTCATTTATGTGGCCCAAAAGATGACTTGGTCCTGATCCATGTTGCCGCTCACGCCCTCCCTGTGCTTGTCAGGTGGTCTCCACTCAGCTGCACCACCAAGAAGTGAAGGTGACCTGAACCAAGGAAAACTGATCCTGTCACCTCCCCAGCCCCAAATATGCAGGGAGCACCATTTGCCAGATATATTCAGGGGGTTTACAGTGATCCTGAATTAACTTAATTTCTGAGGATTTTTTGGATTAGGGCTATCATTTCAAACTACAAAGCTCTGGAGCTAAAATCAGCTGTTTTAGGGTTGGCTAAGATTTGTTTCCTACCTGATAAGCTGAGGGGGTGTGCTGCTTTGTGTGTTTGTGTGGCTTTCCTGTGGTCTGCAGAGAGAATTCTAGGTTGACTCCAACAGGTCAAAAGATTGCTTACTTTCAATTGCCCTAGAAGTTGATAGATGTTCTCTGAGGATATTTTTTAATGTATTTTGATTTCTATATACCTCCCTGTTCCCATAGGCTCTGGAAGGTTTATGGGGGATTAAAACCAACAGCAATTCAAATTTAGAGTAGGGGGAAAAGCATATTAAATAAAACTTACCTGGGATTAGTTGGAAGTGATACATCTTTAACTCCTTCTTGAGGGTAGCAGTCTGGGATGTCAGACACATCTCTTCCAGCAGGACTTTCTGTATTTTAAAGCAACCACTGAGAACATGCTCTGGAAGTTGATTTTAATCTTGCAGAAGCAAACTTTAGAAGCTTCTCCCCAGAGTACTTTGAGGTGGAATATATTTTGACTCCCGCTGCAACTGGGACAGTCCTAGTATTAGGGCTGAATTTTTGCCCAGGGTGGGTGGTTGATAGTGTCCCAGAGTGTGCAGAGCTGTTTTCAGTGGGTTCCCTCGGTGTCTATCCTTTCCTTTTTTCCTCCTCCTGCAGTTGCGGTATGGTGAACCCACGCTTCGCCGAGCTGTGCCCCTAGCCCTGGCTCTCATTTCGGTCTCTAACCCCCGCCTCAACATCCTTGACACCCTCAGCAAGTTTTCCCATGATGCTGACCCAGAAGTGTCCTACAACTCTATCTTTGCCATGGGCATGGTGGGCAGTGGTAAGCAAGCCCAGAGCCTCGGGAGAGGGCCGGTGCAGCCCGCTGAATAGGGAGTCGCTGCCAGTAGGTGTTAAAAGGCTTTCTAAAGGCCCTCAAGGCACCATTCTGGTGTTGACAAAGCAGAATTGATCATTTCCCAGGAAGTTTACAAGATAGAACATACATGAGGGAGCAGAGGCCTTGGACGCCCTGAGCAGGGGTTGGACTAAGCAGCCTGAGTACCTCTCTTCCAGCTCTGCAGTCCTAGTCCAGCATTGTCAACACTGACAGGCACTGACTTTCCGGGGCTGCCAGCAAGATTCTTTCCCAGCCTTACCTGGAGGCCCCGAGGACTGAACCTTGGATCGTTTGTGTGCAAAGCATTTGCAACAGACAAGCCCCAGTGCTCCTGGCTTGTAAAGTGATTCTCAACATCTGCTTCAGAGCTTACCCTCTTCTTTAGTGTGAGTTAAAGCCATGCAGCAACCAAGCAAAAGCCTTTTGGGCTTGGCTGCATTTGAGATTCGGGGGCAGACTCCCAGCAAGCCTTTTACACACTTCTCACATTTTATGGAGTAGGAGGTTTCCCCTGGAAAAAAAGACTGCAGCTTCCCCCAGGACTCAAGCGGGAGCGCAGCCTTTTGGCTCTGGCTTGACTGCCTGCTGATCCCTCCCTTCTTTCCCTTGCAGGTACCAATAATGCCCGTCTGGCAGCAATGCTGAGGCAGCTCGCACAGTATCACGCCAAGGATCCCAATAACCTCTTCATGGTGCGGTTGGCTCAGGTAACAGTGCCGCCTGCCCTCTTCCCCAAGTGAAACGCAAAAGGCATGACTGCGCTTAGAGAGGTTAAGCATGTCGGCGTTCACACCGTGTGGCAACTCCCCCTGTGAGTGAGTGGCACGGGTGTTCCTCAGCCATTTTGCAACTGTGGGCACATCTGGGGATGTGAGAAACTGCTCTGGGCGCTGCCGCAAAATGGCTCCCGCAGAGGGAGTGGCCAGTCAGAAGTGAGCTAAAGGGGAAAGGAATGGGCAGGGAGAAGCTGGGAAGGAGAGAGAAGCCGAAAGGGTAGAGGGGAAAGAAAGGGCAAGGGTGAGGCAAGAAGAGGAGAGAGAGAAGCCCACCCTAACGTCTTCCATTTTGTTCTTAAATTCTTTTTTTGAGGGGGTAGAGAGGGAGGCTTTTCACTGGAGGGCCCCAGAGTGTCGTGTTGGGGTCCACATAGCTAAGCGGTGTGGGTCATTTGTGGAACGGCTTGTGGTGTGCCAGTTGGCTGGACTTACAGACGGTTGCTCCCCCACCCTCATCCTTCAGCCACTGTCCAAGGGTGCTGCAGGCAGTACTCGTCTCGTCTCCGCTTGCTTTGCAGGGCCTGACGCACCTGGGGAAAGGGACACTCACCCTCTGTCCTTACCACAGCGATAGGCAGCTCATGAGCCAGGTGGCTGTGGCGGGCCTCTTGACAGTGCTCGTGTCCTTCCTGGATGTGCGTAATAGTAAGTACTGCTTCCTGGAGCATCATTTATGGCAGACCAGGACTGGCTGTTCTTGGGGATTGGTGCTGCTTCCCCTTTTGTGCCTGTGACTGGAAGCGAGGGCCATCGTGAAAGGTCTGGGGGCAGTACACATGTGTTGATTTTCTTCCCCGATTTATAGCCACAATTGCTCTGGTTGCTGCCTTACTGGTACCCACTGCACTGAGGGCTGGTAGAGGAGTTCTCAGGGCTTCCTTCTAGACTGTGTTCCCTCTGTGGATCCAGAAGAGTGCAGGGGGTGGGGGAACCTCTGCGTACAAGGTTTCCCCAGCACCTCCTGGTCTTCTGAAAGGCTGGGCGAGACCTCTGCCCGAGATCCTGGATTGCTCAGGGCTTACAGTGGTCAAGCTAGATGGATCCATTGAACTGGCTTCATAAAGTCAGTTCCTTATAGGATTCTGGGCCTAGGTACGGGGAGCCCCAGGGCCAGCTTCACATTCTATACTTGCACATGGCAAACTGGGCATAAATGACATACTCCTTGTGCCATCTGAGTATGGGGCATTAAATCGCCATGCGGCAAAATGCAGGAAGAGCCGCTTCCGGGAGACAACAGTATCTCATGCTTCTGGGTCTTTTGATGAGAAGAGCTTGCACTGAGCAGGGGTTGAACCCAGTGGCCTAATGGGCCCCTTCCAACTCTCTGATTCTGTGAAACTGTGCATTCGCTCCATTTATCTGTTTAATGCAGCCTTCACTACCCTGGTGCTCTCCGTATGTGTTGGCCTACAACTCCCAGCATCCCCCAGCAGAGTTAAGGGCAATCCAGTAGTCTTCTGCTGTGTATTAAAAGGATGATTTAGTCATGGGATAGGATTGGTGAGAAACAGTGCCCCAAGCCATTTGTCCGAAGCTTTTAGCCTTGCCTCACAGTGGCGAACGGACTTTCTTGTGCAGATCGGAAGCACGACGAGGCACCTCCCTATGGGCACAGTCCTCATAAGCCCTGAACTTGTGTCTTCCTTCTCCTTCCAGTTATTCTGGGGAAGTCCCACTATGTGCTGTACGGCCTTGTGGCTGCCATGCAGCCCCGCATGCTAGTGACCTTCGACGAGGAGTTGCGCCCCTTGCCAGTGTCTGTGCGAGTGGGGCAGGTAAGCAGACTGGGAATATATAAGGGACTGGGAAGCTAGACTCGGGGGTGGAGGGTGGGGGATTCTCCTGCCTTACTTCAGGAATCCTGCTGGATGTTGGGGGTTGGCTGTTTCAGAGATTCATGGCTTGTTATGGATCGCCCTGACGAGAATGAGGCGAAGGGGCTGTTCGGTTCTTTTGCTTCTTGCAAGAAGTCCTGGGCTTGATGGGTCGGTGAAGCTGAACCCCCGACTGTTGACTGCCTTTAATCTCTGGTGTCTTCATCAGGCAGTCGACGTGGTGGGCCAGGCCGGCAAGCCAAAGACCATCACAGGCTTCCAGACTCACACAACGCCAGTGCTGCTGGCCCATGGCGAGCGGGCAGAGCTGGCCACAGAGGAGCACATACCAGTCACCCCTATCCTGGAAGGCTTTGTTATTCTGCGTAAAAATCCCAACTATGATGTCTAAATTTCCTGAGCTGTGTGGGGGTGGGGGTGGGGGTGGGAGTGGGAGGGAATGAGCGATGGCACTGTGAGAGGGAGTAGTCTCCTCCGCGTTTTTGTTACGAAAAGAGTTCGTCCTGGAGAAATAAACTGACTTTGGAGTGAGCCTGGCTTTCTGCCTGATCTGTAGATAGAGGGCTCAGAAGAGCACAGACAATCAGTGCAAAGGATTTCTGGTTCTGTGGGTAGACTGTAAACTGCCTGGCACTTACTCTCGCAGAAAGTGTTCCCTGTGGCCTTGCAGATAAAACTGCAACTTAGACAGTTACCAAGTGATGTATGTAGCTGGGTTTATTGTTGACTAAATGGAGGGCCTGATTTGCTTGGTTTCTTTACAGTTTAAGGATCTTTAGTAGAGGATCTGTCCTGTGTCTGATAGATGAAGCAGTGAAGGCTTTGTGGAAGGCACAGGCAGGGCATCAAAGATTCCAAGTCTCTGCTCCCTTTGATTTCAAACACAATCCGTATAATTAGCATAATGACTAACCTGATGTCAAGCACAGGTCTCTCAAAATGGAAGAATGCTGGAGAAATCATTCTGTTACAGCTGCTTTATCACGCAGCATTAATGCATAGAATATTGCCAGATTCTTCCTGGCCAGCAATGAGATTGAGCAATGCCTGGGAAGGATGCGACAACAGACTAATTGCTCAGCTGGTTTGATTTTTTGCTTGGGGAAATGAAGTTAGCAGTATTTGGTAAACATGAATAGAACAGGGGAACTGCATTTTCAGCCACAGGAAATGATTTGGAACCAAGTCAGTAGAAGAAACGAGAGAAGAAAATACTACAGCAGGGGTAGGGCACTGCAGCAGCCCAGTGTATATTGGATAGAAGCTCAGAAGAAACTTGCTAAGTTCTGGCAAAAAGATGAGACAACAGGAACAGAATGCTGTCAGAATGGATTTGCCCTTCAAAGAAGGGCTTCTGTCCACATGTGTTGGGCTACAGCAGGGTTGCCAAGCCTGAACGTATTGACTAGCTCTTTGGATTTTGCAGTATTGTGTAGGATATAACCCTACAACATTCCACATTTTAAAAAATGAAACCACCTTTAGGATTAGGAACCAAAAGCCCTTAGTAGGGTTAGAAGGGTTGACTCTGTATCAGCCTCTACCAGCATCAGCAATACAGATGTCAAGGAATACGGCCTAGCTGAGTCCAGCCTGTACCTGGAGGAGAGAACTGGCAGTTGCTTAAGGCAAGATGGTGCATGGTGGCATATCGAGAGGGTGATTTTGTAAAAGAAGTAAACCATGGTTCCTACTGCTGCAGGCATCTGCACATCGCAACCATGATACGGGTGCAAAATGTTGGTGTGGTCCTTTACTGTGTGTTCGGCCCTCTGACGTCTGAGACTTTGTAACATGGCCCTCTTGGGCTATGGCAATTCAGCATCTAGTCTCAGCACACTTTGACATGTTTTCTCACATTTGTTTTGCTCACTACAGTTCTTCTGGGTTTTTCTGGGGCGGGGGGAGCTGCCACATTACATCCTGAATTAAAAGGTAGCTCTTCCAACCCGTCTAAGAGCAATACATAAGTAAGATCTCCTTCCTGCCCCATTCCTCTAACTACTAATTAAGCTGCTTTTGTATTGGAGAGGTTACACAACAGCTTTTCTTCCCAAAGTGCATGTTTTGTATAATCAGAGTTGTATTTCAGGAAATTTCTCCACTAGCAGTCTGAAGTGGTGCAGCTGCGAAACAATTATATAACCGTTCACCTGCTGTCAGTGTGTATTGCTGATGCAGCTTGTAGTGTTGTATAAATACAGTTTGAAAACACTGGCGTTTCAGCCTTTGGTCTGTGTTGGCAAACCTGTTGGATGGTACTACATCCAAATAATGATGCAGATTAGAAAGGCACAAATCATGTGTGGAATAAAAAACATTCCTGCCATTTCTGTGTGTTTTAAGCCTTCATCAAGGAAATACTGTTTACAGAATACAGCTGCAAGGAACAAATTGTTTTGCAACACTCCATGTCCTCTGCTGCTTGCACCTCTGTTGCTACCTCCAATCTGGGATAAGTGGTAACAGGGCTTTCCACCAGGAACATGGCCTGAAGGCTAAGCCCTGCACCCTGGCAGCATCCATGGAGGCTTGAGGAGCTGTGCTTCCAGGTCCCTGATTTAGGGAGCAATACTAAATCGAATGTTTTTTGAAGGCTGTGGTTACTTTTCAGGTTTCAGTAAATCTTCATGTGCCTGTAGTAGTACAAACTGGACCAGTTTTTGCTGTCGCCACCCACTCTTGTGGCATTCAGATAGCCAGATTGTTCCTTTACTTCATTATCAGATATCTTACCAACAGGGATATTTTTTTAAAGATATTGTGTACAGTTGGAGTTTGCAAGTTAGTCATCCATATCTAGCCACGCAGAGACTTGTGTGACTTCATTCTCTGTTTCTAGGTTCAGGGCCTCAAACATAATACCATTTACCATATGGCCTGAGATTGTATAACTTCTCTTTTCTTACATCAGTGAAGGGAGGTGCCCCATGCCAGGGTTTAGGAACCCTTTGTAGTGTCAACCATTATACAACTGCACTCCTTAAGGCTCAAAACTTAGAAGTACAGTTTGAAGGAAATGGCAAGGACTGTATTGCTGCTACAGTCCCAAAAATAAAAATGAAGCTTGAAAATTAACATTTGAGTGTTACCTACTAGGAATCAGTTTATCAAATTTCCCCAGCTAACCCTTTCTTTAGCTTCAGAAAATAGTTAAAATGCATGTCATGTTCTCTCTTTAATTGAGCTCACCCAGGCCTTTATCTGGGTGAGGAATGGGGTTCTGATTTCAGTAGTTCCAGTGTAGGGGAGAGGTCACACAGAAAGGAATTGTGGGTGCAGGTCCCCAATTTTATACCCATTTGTCTGCAACTAAGTTTGACTGAACTCAGTGTGACTTTCTTGTGATGCTGTGTTTAGGATTGTACATCCAGAGTCTAGCAGGGACCAGATCTCTTAAGCAGTTGCCTTTAAAGATTAGAAACATTAAAAATGAAAAGACAAGCTGAACTGACCAGGAATGGTGGGTCCTGCCTTCAGTTCAACTGTAAGTAGTTAGTTGCACAACATCAAATCCTTGTAACTGAGCAGAGCTGAAGCGAGTGACATTGAGCAAAGCCAGAGGGGTTGCCATGCTTAAAGAAAGCATAATGCAACATTTGGCAGCAAAAGCTCCAACAAACAAAGGCCTCAAACATCTTTTGGAGGAACTGAATTTATTCCCAACCCGGGCCTCAGTCAGACTTGTTAATATAGCTACAACTGAAATGAACCATGTGTGTTGCAAACAGCAAGAGAGAGAGAAAAGTTCTGTATGGAACATGTTGGGCATTAAGTTTTTTCAGGGACCTGAGATTATCTTATCTTATCTGACTCAAGGGCCAGGCTTTGTGGATGTAATGGGGAAGCAAGGCTTGTTCCGGGGAGGAACACAGCCATTTCACAGACTTAATTGGTGAGTCATCTCTATGAAAAAGAGCAACACACCCTCCTGACTTGAGTATTAGACTGGTGAAGAAGCAGCATCACATTGGAAAGAAAGACAGGTTTCAATCAATTCACATACTCATGCTTTTTTCAGATGGTCGTGCTGTGAAGTCACAGCTGCAGAGAATTTATACGTGTTAATGTAAGCTAACATAAGCAATTATCTTGTCCATTGACTAATGACCAGTACATGTTTCTGAGGCATCTCCTGACAACTAGATTCGTCCACTGCTACATCCGATCAAAAGCAGCATGCAAAAGATATAGGTGAGCAGTGTAATTTAGCAGCCATCTTTAGTAGGATAATCTTGCTTTCTGAAATTCAAACTATGCCCACTTTGATTTTACAAAAAACCTTTCAACATCTACAAGGGAAAGTGCATCATGGTTTATATCCTCATCACTGTATTTTTAGCTGATCTGCCCTCACAAGGAAGCCTGAAGTGACTAAAGGCATCATGAAAGACACAGTTCTATCAAATATCAAAAGACAACACTGAAGATTATGACACTAAAAAACATACAAGCAAACTGTCATTTCAAAGGTGAATCAGGGCAATAAACATGAATAAATGGACAGAGACAAATACAAACCTGTATTTTAATCAAAGTTACAGACTACATCCCACTTCTATTTTACTGCAAATTGGATGTACCATTTTGAATTGTTTCATCATAGAATTTACAAGGAAAGAGTATTCGGAAGTGTCCTATCTTTGCCAGCACCTTCTATGCAGCACTAACCAGAGTTAGCTTGAGTGCCCCTGCCAGCATCTGTGAAAGTGTTCTTCACCAGTGTTGCCTCTGACTACCACTGCTAGACTTCAGGGTCCACCCCGCTCCCATCCTGAGTAGGAGATCCATTCTGTTCTGCTGTTGCGATCATTACTCCTGAGGCATCTTAGTCTGGTGTCTCAGCTTTGAGCATTCCAGCTTGGGTGATCTTGAGAGCAACCTAGTGAGACAGTGGGGCCACCAAGGCGTACAGGTCTCGGCCTCTCTGACACTCTCAGATCTCCACACCATATTGAGGCTAGTGCTTTATTTAGTTAATCCTTTTTTTCCGAACAAGTTTTATTCTTAATATTAATAAACCTATCAAAAAACCCCCCTAAAAACATCAGTCATCAAGAACATCGGACCTGCTGGGTCAGCCCCCCAATTTTTTTTCTTTTTATATTAAACTATAAACATATTTGAATCTATGCATAGTCCTGTTTCTCAAGCCAATGATAAAAAGAGTCCTAGGTTTGATAGAAGTCTGTATCTTCTTTCTCCTTCAGAGACACAGTCAATCTGTCCATTTCTGCACAATCCAAGATCTTTTTTAGAATCAGTTCATCAGTAGGTGGCTCTTCATCCAATGTTGGGCAAATGCAATCCTCGCCACCGTAGTTACATGTAGAGTCAAATACATTGCTTGTTTGTTAAGATCATCAAGTATAATGCATAATAAGAAAACTTCAGGTTTAAATGTTAGAGATTTTTGTAACATTTCCTCAAGCCATTTGTGTATTTTAATCCAATACTTTTTTGCCTTCTCGCAGGTCCACCACATATGATAAAAAGTACCCGGTTTGTGTTTACATTTCCAACATTCATTTGACATATTTGAGAACATCTTAGCTAACCTGTTTGGCGGCAAATACCATCTATAAAACATTTTATACAGGTTTTCTTTGTATGAAGTTGCTAATGTTACTTTAATATTTCTTTCCCACAGCTTTTGCCATTTCTCTAACTCAATATTATATCCAAAATTTTGTGCCCACGTTATCAGTTTCTTTAACCTGTTCATCTTCCATTCTCTTATCTAGTAGAAAATTATACAATCTTTTAATCATTTTCTCATCTAATTTGAAAAATCATGTGGTCAAATGCTGTTAACTCCTTATAGAAGCCCCACATTCTATAGTCTTTAGCATATCTTGATTGCATTTGAACCTTGTGCCACCAAGAAATATTAATTCCTTGTGCCTGTATTTCTTGATTCAATTTCAATCCTCCATCATTATCTAAAATATCATATCTCACAATCGTATCAAAATTCAACGCATTTGGATATACAAGAGCTTCCATAGGTGAGAGCCATCTTGGTAATTTAGTATAGTTTTATCTTTAACTTTTCCCACACTGACATTAATGATTTCCTAATATAATGATTTAAAAAACAACCATGTGCCTTACACTTTTCATACCACATATAAGCATGCCAACCATTTGCAAATCATGCCCTTCAAGATACAAGATTCTCTTGTTTCTTAAAGTTACCCATTCTTTTAGCCACGTTAAAACAGAAGCTTGATAATACAACATCCAATCGGGAAGACCAACATCCCCGTTCCCTTTAGCCTCCTGTAACATTTTTAATTTAATCCTTGATTTTTTCTTTTCCCATATAAATCTCGAGATTTGGATATTTAAATCATCAAAAAAATTATCAATTTTTATGGGAATCATTTGGAATAAAAGCAAAAGCTTCGGTAATATATTCATTTTGACTAACACTATTCTTCCCAACAAAGATAATTGCAAATTAGCCCATTTTTCCAAGTCACTCTTCATTTCCTTAGTTTATCATAATTGTCTTCTTTCAATGTAGTGCACTTAGCTGTAAGAAAAATTCCCAAATATTTAACCTTTTTAACAATTTGAAGATCTACTTGTTCCACCAGAGTTTTTCTCTGCTCCAGTGTAAGATTTTTTTACTAACAATTTCGTCTTATCTGTTTATTTTCATCGCAGTAACATCACCATATTCTTCAGTCCTTTGTAGAAGTTTAGTTACCAAAGGTTCCTCAATTATAAAAACTAAGTCATCTGCAAATGCTTGCAATTTATAGCTTTCATCTCTGATTCTAGTGCCTTTAATATCCATATCATCTCTAATATTTGTTTAACACTTCTAAGATCAATATAAACAGCAGTGGTGATAAAGGGCATCCTTGTCTTGTGCTTTTTTGTATGTCTGTAGTATGTGTAAATTCTCCATTAATTATGATCCTTAGCAGACTGTTTTTGATAGATGCTTAATATCGCATTAATGAATTTTTCACCAAACTCCATTTGGACTAGTTGTTGCTTCATAAATTGCCAATTAGCATTGCCAAAGGCCTTCGGTGCATCCATAAATAACAATGCTATTGATTTTTCAGAATGTGCTATTTATTTAATCCTTCATGATAGTCACTTCCCCAAGCCAGTTTAGTTTAAAGTATCTGGAGAACACCATCTGTGCACATTGGCTATATGGCTGATAAAAACATGGAATTTAGAACATCCATAGGGTGCAATGTTGGGGAAGCTTTAATCTTGGTAGCTAACAGGATGACCTTTATTTTGCTTAGTAGTTCTGGATTTGGGTAAAGCACCACAAAGAAATCCTGAGAACAGCAGGTCAAG